TGCCGCTAGAAATTGTGGATTGGGGAAAGAACAGACATGAAGTCCGATTAGTCGTCCCCATCCGACTCTCCTAAGTTGTCCATCCAATTAAGCCTAGCCGCATCGTCAGCGGCTTGCGCCTTTCTCGCTCTTTCTGCCTCCTCCTTCCGAAGCATTATCGATTCGCAGAACTCTTTGAGTGCCGCCCATTTAGTTGGAGATTCCAAAATCGCAAACATTACTGATCGGAGGTCAAGTTCAGGACCTATTGCGTTAACCAAGACCTCCCTATCCACGGCCCATGCGGGGCACGCGCCAAGAGTATGGAGGTTGGTATCTTCCTCGACATCACAGAACGAACACGCTGCGCTAGGAGCCCTACCGATACGGGACAGGAATGCGTTAAAGCAACCGTGTCCCGTGATCATTTGCGTCAGTCTATAAGTTAACTGCCCGTGTTTACGCCTATACCACCTGTTCAAAACTGGGGCTAACGCTCCTCTTACGGCCACCGCAGTGGTGCCAGGCTTCCTGTAGTCCATCTCCCATTTTGTTAGCGCAGTCTCGAGAGCCTTTTCCCGTATGCGATCCTTTATCCGGTTAGTGATGGGAACATCCTCCCTCCTCAATTCTCGGGTATCCGCGAAGATGCTTTCCAATCTTTCTGCAAGGTATTCCACCGGCATCACTCGGGAGAGCAAGAATGCCGCCGGATACGAGACTGTCCGGTAACCAGCTATAATTCTTAGTGCCACCTTACGCTGAAGCGCTCTTATCTCATTGGTGGTCTTCCGGTCCGTGTTCAGGGCAGAAGCCCAAACCGGGGCGCCGTAGAAAATCACAGAGTGTATGGTGGCACTATACACTCGTCTTACCATTTCTGAGGGTCCCCTCAAGTTGGGCATTATTCTGGCTAATGCCATGGACATCCTCTCAGCCTTCGGCAAGGTTTGTGCGAAATGCTCGCGGAAGGACCATTTTCTGCTCAGCACCACTCCCAAGTACTTGAGTGTGGAACCCAACGGCACCATAACTCCTTTGACCAACACAGAGTTGTCATGAACGAACCTGTGGGCCTTAGAGAAAACACAAGCCTCCGTTTTCTGTGGGGAGATTTTTAGGCCAATATTCTCGATCTGCCTGACTATTAAGGCAACTGCCATCTCCGCACGGGCTCTTGCCATGTCCAAGTTGTTTCCAAGTGCGATCACTAGGGTGTCATCTGCGTAGCAGATGGTGTGACATCCCAGGGGCAGTTCCTTCTGCAGAACCTCGTCATAGGCCAGGTTCCAGCCCTCCGGCCCATAGGCAGAGCCCTGCGGAACCCCGCAGGACATGGGCACCTTGTTCCTGCGTCCTCTGGCATCACTCCAGGTGATCCACCTGTTGTTCAAGTAATCCCCAGACACCACACGGAGATAGTTGGGAATCTCCTTATCGATAAGTGCTTGTCTGATCCTCTCCCAAGGCAGGGAGTTGAACGCATTTGAGATGTCTAAAAAGACAGCTATTGCGTGCTGCCTCTCATCACCGAAAACCGGTTCCAGAATATCCTTGAGGCGAAGGATCGCGTCAACTGTTGACCGCTTTTCTCGGAACCCATACTGCAGGTCTGAAAGTCCGACCCCTTCATTCAGACTAATACGGATTCTTCTGACCAATATTCGCTCAAACATTTTGCCAAGCTCGTTCAAGAGGCAAATCGGACGGTACGAGGATGGCATCAAGTCCGGCTTATTCGGCTTTTTTAGTAGGACCAACTTGGCAACTTTCCAACGTTGCGGGAAGGTCCCTTCGCGCAAGCAGGCCGTGAAACAGCGCCTCAGAGGTTCGAGGATTTCCGGGAGTGCTTCTTTTATGACGGCTCCCGTTATTCCATCTGGGCCGGGGGCCTTTCCGCTATACTTAAGTTTACTGGCTGCCCACTGGACTTCTTCGTTGGTTACACAGAAGTCCTCGTCCCATTGGACCAATTCTCTCTGTTTGGGTCTCTCCTCCGTAGCATCTCTGGGAAAGAGTCCTGATACCACTCGAGAGATCACCTCCGGTTCCAGCTTTTCGCAAATCGGTTTCTCCGCGGGGCAGAGTTTCCCCAGAACAATTCTATAGGGCCTGCCCCAGGGGTCCCTGTTGATCGTGGCGAGAAGGTCCCTCCACGCGCCCCTTTTGGCCTCTTTAATTGCCACTCTGAGCTTTTTGCGGGTCTTTGCCAGCTCGGTCTCCAGGGCAAGTGCTGTGGCGTGCTTTCTTTTCCGGTTCCTTGTGACCTTTCTTCTGATCGCGATACATTCTTTGCGGAGGGCGGCTATCTCGCCGTTCCACCAGTACACTGCCTTCCTCTTCCCAACCTTGTGCCTGGTCATGGCCAGATCCGAGGCCCCCTCCAGTGCGTCCTGCAGATGGTTTGCCATGGCCTCAGCGCTTTCATCCTCGGAAACTCCAGGCCAGTATGATATCATTAAACTGGCCCTCAGTAATTCTGGTTGGAGACTTCTCGCGTTCCATCTGGGGAAGCTACGTGGGACACGCAACTCCGGTCTATCTCTGCTACCTCTCAGCCTGAGGAAGATCAACCTGTGGTCCGAGAGTGATTCCTCTTCATCCGCCAATTCCCACGACCGAACAGCAGGCAACGCAGCAGGGGAGGCCCAGGTCAGATCGATCACCGAGGTGCCCTGCGGTCTGACACAGGTGGGGGCTCCTCCCTCATTTAAGAGCCTTAGGTCCAGAGTTGC